CACTTATCCATTCACCCACTCATCCATTCATTCATTCACCCACTCATTCATTCACTCATTCATTCACCCACTCATCCATTCAGCAAATTCTTCTGGATCCTTTGCCTAGGCCAATCACTCCTGGTTTTTAAATATTGGGCCTTTGTATTTCGTTTGAGTCAAGAATTTGTGATCAAAACAGCTTTGCAAGCACTTGGCCCAGATTGTCTACAAGGGCTGTGAAGTTGACATTCAGGGGCTTTAGCAGTTCCTGAGACTTGTGTGGGCCTTCTCACTCTGCTCAGTCGTCTTGGGTCTTTGGAGCCTGTCCTCATGAGGCTGTGTGGTGTAGGTGGAGGCCGGATCCTTCCTCCTGTTCACTGATGGATGGCGGCGTGGGCTTTGTGCTGGATGCTCCTCCCACTGCAGGGGCAAGGCAGCCCTTCCTGGGTGACACTTCTATCTCTAGCTGGAACAGACATTTTAGCAACTAAATACAGGTCTAGTCATTTGCTTAGGGCATGAGGAGGGCTAAGGAGGATTGTGGGAGCCGTGAGAGGGGGCCTGGGAGGTGGGAGGGGCCCTGCGTGGGAGGATCACCCCTGGACTACTTGATGTTTGAGGTCAGGGTCGGCAGTGTTTCCCTGCAGGGGTCGTGGTGGAGGTGGGAGACCTCACAGGCCAGATGGTCCCTCACTATGCTTAAGGCCCCAAAGCAGACATAGGCAGCCAGCAGATGAAGGTTGCGCGTGTTCCCTTCTAACTGTTCACAAACACAGGCAGCAGGGTGGCTTGGCCTGCTGGGATTTACTGATCCCTGCTCCAAAGGATGGGTAGGGATTGACGATTTAAGAGATGAAACTGTTACAGGGCAGGGTAAGGGCACCCAGAACCCCCAAGCAAGTCCACTTTGCATGGGTTCTTCCATCTGCCGCATCAAGACAAAACTTAACCCTGGTGCGTAAGACCTTCAATGGAAAAGAACATTAACACAGTTAGTGCGCAATAGAGAGAAGGGAAAGGATACAGTATCAGTAGTTTCCACACGAAACACCCAGAGTTACCCGGCCAAACAGGGTTGGCCCAAAGCAGGGCTGCTGAGGCCCAAAAGCTGGCCACAGTCTAAGGCACCTTGTGCTGGGTCCCACGGAAAGGGGCAGGAGAACCCTGGCAGGTCCAGGACAAAAGGAGCAGAATCCAAATCTAGATAAAAGCGGCCATTGTCATCCTCTCCATGCATCTCTGCCATGTCCCCCCTCTTTCAAGAGTCTCCTTCCATGTCCCCAAGTCCCTGGTGCCAGTCAAGGCCAAGAGGCAAGTGCAGCTCACACGTCTCTGCTCCATGTGCCTCCTCCAGGTCTCCTTCTCGCTCTCCTTCCTCCTCCCAGTTTCCTCCTTGCTCGGCTCCAACCTTCCTTGGGTGGGCAGGAACCTCCCTTTCCCTGGAGATTATCCTGCTACAAAACCAGAACTTGACTCGGTACCAGAAGCAGAACCCTCCACCTCCTCCTTGCTCAGCCAAACCTGTGCACGCCCCCTCGGGGCTGTGTTGCTCCTGACCCCCCGTGTCTCTGCAGGTTGCCTGACCCCCAGAGGACCCACGTGATGTGGGCGACCAGCAAGGTGGGTTCCTGACCTGGGGCTGTTGGGGAGGTGTTGGGGTGGTGTCGGGGGAAGAGGCCTCCTCCATGGGGGTCTGACTGTTAACCACAATGCCTTCCTCCTGCAGGACTTTGGGATGTCAGGGCTCCGCTTCGGGACACTGTACACAGAAAACCAGGACGTGGCCACCGCCGTGGCTTCCCTTTGCCGCTATCACGGCCTCAGTGGCTTGGTCCAATACCAGATGGCGCAGCTGCTTCAGGACCATGGTGATTGCCGGGGCTTGGCGACTCAGAAGCAGGGCAGGGATGTAGCCCAGCTGGGACTGGCCAGGGGCCATGGAAGCTTCTCCCAGAAGAATTCAGGGTGCTGTTTGAGGGTGACAGCTCTGGGCCCAGGCTCATACCCTACTTGGTGACTTCCTGGCTGTGCAGATCATTCCTTCACCTCTCTGAAGGAATGTTCTCTCTTTCTTTGTTTGTAAAACAGGGGTCAGTAGCAGCTATCTTGTGGGGTTCTTGTGATTTGTCATACAATTAAAATAGTTCCTGCAGTGACAGGGGCTCACCCATGTGAAGCTATTGAAAGGCAAGAACAAAAGCTCTTAAGGGCAAACTGTTATGTGGGAGTACCCCTGTTTACTGGGCTCCCCTGACCCCCAGGTTCAGATAGCAAAGGTTCCCTGTAATTGCCACCGCCCGCTGAGCTGAGAGATGCCCTCAGGGCATCATCTCACTTATCCTTTCCCAGCATCTTAAGGAGCAGGGATCCCTGGTTCTCGCTGTTGCTCTATAGGCAAGGAGAATGAGGAGCAGGCAAGACAAAATGGCGCTAACAGCTGGGAAAAAAGAAAAGCCACAATATCAAGTGTTGGTGAGGACATGGGGCCACCGGGATCTGTGCACTGCTCGTGGGTACATAGGCTGTGAGGCAACCTGGCCGTTGCATGTCCAGTTAAACATACACGTCCCAAATGACCCAGCAATCCCAATCCTGGGTTTTCCTCGTCCGGCGCCTGGTCTTTGATGGGAGGATCTATCTCTGGCTTCTCTTTCACCTAAACAGAATGGATCAGCCAGGTGTATCTGCCAGAAAACCATGCCCGGCTCAAGGCTGCCCACACCTACATATCAGGAGAGCTTGAGGCGCTGGGGATTCCCTTCTTGAGTCGTGGGGCTGGCTTCTTCATCTGGGTTGACTTGAGGCAGGTAATGCAGGTGGAGGTAGGAGTGGGGAGGTCGAGTTAGGTTCCCTCTGGCAGGTGGGGCAGGGCTAGTCACCTGCAGGCTGTTTCCTCCCCCCCCCCCAGTACCTTCCTGAGGGCACCTTCGCGGAGGAACTGCTGCTTTGGCGCCGGTTTTTGGACAACAAGGTGCTGCTGTTGTCCGGCAAGGCGTTCGAGTGTCAGGAGCCCGGCTGGTTCCGCCTGGTCTTCTCAGACAAGCCCCACCGGCTTCGCCTGGGTGAGCCCTCTGCCTTCCCTGGCCCCTCAGCACCGCATCCTTCGCTCTGCACCCCCCCTTCCGGTGTCCCCTGCGGCCCCAGCAGCCTCAGTGTGGTGGCCTCTGCCCACCCACCCACCAGCACTGCTGAGAAGCCTCGCTTCTCCTTCCCAGGCATGCAGAGGATCCGCCAGGTGCTTGAGGGCATATCCCAGGTGGCAAAAGATGCCCCTTCCTGCCACACCCAGGAGCCAGGTGACCAGCGCAGGTGAGCTGGTTGTTGTCTTTTGGCCACAAGTCTTCCAGCCCACCAGAGCCTTTGGGGCTGTCAAGATTGGTGGTGATAAGCCGCTGGCCAGAAAGATGCCCGGTGGCCTCGACTTTGAAGAACTGATGTCTGCCTCTCTGCGTAGCAGTGCCTTAAGTTCTGGTTTGCCTGGCCCATCCTTCACCCTCTCTATTAAATGAAACTAGAGAAACTGGGACGCTCTGTTGTGAGTAATTTACAGACTGGAGGAGTCGTGTCTGCTCCTACACACAACCCACAGTCCCCCCAGGATGCAAACAGCACACATAACAACCTGTACCTTCTTTTTGAGAGCACGTTTCTTCCTTTGTTGCTCAGGAAACACGTCAAAGGAACAACTCATATAATATAAAAGAGTGTAGCCTCAAAAAGCCAAAGATGCGATAATTTCCAAGCTGCAAGGTGAAAGGAGTTGATGTCTGCACGGTCAGATTGCTCTCCCACACTTAGGATGCGTGTGTCCCAACACACCTGGGATAGACCCCTGCGTGGGGTGAGGGGGACAGACCCCAGCAGGGGTCGAGAGGGGTGTCACTGTCTCCGGACTTTTCTTCCTTCTATCTGATGATTCCAAACAGTGGTGGGAAGATCTTAGGTGATCCTGAGATGTCCATGGGGAGCCTTGACCAATGTTGGCCTTTCCCCATTAAGCAGGCAAAGCTGTCTCCAGGTGCTTCATTCTCACCCTACCTTAGAGCTGTGTGGAGGGCCCTTCTGTGCCAAATCTCCTATGAAGAAGAACTCTCTTTCCTTGTACCTTTTTTTTTTTTTAGAGATTTATTTATGCATATAGGACTGGAGTACAGGCCAGAGGTACAGGTGCGGTGAGAGGAATCACCAGAGACAGAGTGGGAGCAGAACAGGAAGATCAACAAAGTACACTGCTGAGGGGAGCAGCGGGCGGATCAGGAGAGGTCTGCCGAGCCATGTGGGTCACCTCCGGAGCGGGGATGGAACTCATGCTGAAGTGGCCCCAGTTTCTTAGTGTTGTGCTTTAACCCGCCGCACCACCAGGGAGGGCCCTATCTTTAATTATTTTTTAACGTCATTGGCTACGTAGCATTCCCTCTGCCCCCTACTTCCAGGAAATGCTACTGGGACTTGTTTTACTGGAATGCCTTCAGCTTTCCGGAGGCCACCGAGAGCGGGCTCAGTATCTTCTCTAAAAACTCTGTGTCACTACTATTCTCAGGGTCCTCCTAGTAGTGGGTAAGCAGAATGTGAGTTTCTCATTTCCAGTCTCCCTGGACTGGTGACTAGCAGGCTTACAAGAACATTCCTGGAATCACTGTTGCTGCTGCAAGTGCCAGAGGGTCTCCAGACTTCCAGGGACATCCGCGAATATTTAAGCTGTAAATGACAAATTCCACTAGAGGGCGCGAGATACAGCTGGGACCAAGATGAACTTGGATCCCATAGCCAGCACCACTAACGGCTCTTAGCGTCACTCTGGCCCCGCCATGCTGTTCCTGAAAACAATCACTGTGCATTTTGACTGAATTTTGAAAGACTCCCTTTACATATTTATGACATTAGAAGACTACATCGTTTCAATAAACAAAACGAACATGAAATATACCCACAAGTATGTTTTCTTCAGTTACTCCATATTTTTTTTTCATAAAAGGGATCGTCCTTTATAGTTATATATTTTGGAAGTATTTCCTTACCAACACAGAGGTTTCTCACATTATTACGTTCTAATCATGTTTCATATTTTATTTTGTTGTTTTCAGTTTCCCACTCTTTGGAAACAATTCCAGGATGACTTTTTTTTGTTTTTAAGAGTTATTTATTTATGCATACAGAACTGGGGTACAGGCCAGAGGTGCAGGGCTGGTGAGAGGCTTCACCAGAGACAGAGAGGGGAGCAGAACAGGCTGACTGACGAAGCACACTGCTGAGGGGAGCAGCAGGCAGGTCAGGAGAGGTCTGCCACGCCATATGGGTCACCTCCTGGGCGGGGATTGAACACGTGCTGAAGTGGCTTTAGCTTCTTGGTGCTGCGCTTTAACTCGCTGCGCCACCAGGGAGGGCCCTAGGGTGACTGTTTTTGATAAGCGTTGCTAATCCATGGGGTAAACTGCATGCAGAGCTCGCTGGGGAATGGGTTCTGTAATTTTGCAATTGCAGGATACT